TTGTTATGTATGAATATTATGACCTTGTAGACTACGAGCGAATCAAACTTAATGCGCTGGCTAATCTGTCCTAATCGCACGTCAGCAACAACAACAATACCACCGGTCATGCAAGACAAGGAAAGAAGACTGGACGTTGATACGAGAGCTTTTACTGCCCCTACAACAGTCGAAAATGTTAAACAAAACTCCGTATTTATACAGTTAGGAAAATCAATGTCACATTAAAAAATGTTAACAACCAATGGAAATTCAGTAATTCAATCATGCAGGTGCGAAAAATCAATATTGATGAGTCACCAGTGTATATATCATGATGTCAAAGCGGTGACCGGGAAAGAAAGGCAAGCTTTCATTACTCTCAAATCTGTGTGAAGGTCAACAGCACTCAGCATCAAAAATAAGATCCGGATATTCAACCCCAATGTACCACTTATTGTACGGATCAGAGACTTGACGCGTCATAAAGAGCACCTCAAACAAACTGCACACCTTCTTCAACAACTGTCTCCACTCAACACTAAAGATCAAATGGCCAGAAAAGATTAGCAACAGGGATCTCTGGGAGCGAACCAACCTGGAACCGATTGTGCAACATTTAAGCAGAAAGAAATTGAGGTGGATTGGCCATACTCTGAGTGACATCACACGACAAGCCCTCGAATGGAATCCGAAAGGGAAACGGCAAGTTGGTCGTCAGTGCAAGAGTGACTTGGAGGAGGTCATGTGAAGAAAAGATGAAAGCATGTGGGCAGACTTGGAGCCAGGTTAAAGCTCTAGCAGAAAACCGAACGCAATCGAGACACGCAGCTGAGGCCCTATGTTCCTCTAGGAATAAAAAGAAATTCGAATAAAAACGTGAAAAAACTACTAGATTCTGATTCCACATCAACTCGTCCATCAGATATATCACACATTGAAACAGTATAATTAACTGGGTGACGTTTCGAACACAATTTATTGTCCACAATGTCATCAATTATCACTACACAGCTTTGAAACTTTCATTTTACAGTTTTCTTTATTCCTTCCTATCCGTCATGGGGATAGTAGAATTTTCCGCATGTCTGAGACAGGCGTTGAATCATTCTTATTACAATTAATCTCACTTGATTCGGTAAATAAAGCCTCAGCTATCAATCTTGGTCCCTCCACCTTGTTATATTAGATCTTAGGGATGTCATCTTTTCCCATCCCATTTTACGGTTGTGTGTAATTGCATGTAGTGTTGTAGCTGATCCATTATCCAGATTTCTCACCTTATTAGAGTCAACTTATCTAGATTTTGCTGGGTTTTTCCGCTTTGCTAGTTCGACTGACTCCGTTCTACCACTTTGACCCATGTATTTCACCCGACAATCACTGCAGAGTACTAGATAAACTAAATTGTTTTGTCTGATTGACACCACATGATTCCTCAACCCGCGAAGCCCGTTTGTGAGATTGTGAGTTTGAATGCCACTTTTATTCCTCCATTGCTAAGAATTATCCGTAAGGTCTCCGATGGATGCATCGCCGTTGATTCAGATTCCCTTTTGTTGGTAATATCATCATTCTGTGCATGTTTGACATGCATGTCCTCATTCACGTTATTATTACCATCATTAACACTACGATTATTATCAATTTAACTTCTCTATTTCAAACTCACAAACTCAACTGGAAACGGGCTTCGCGGGTTGAGGAATCATATGGTGTCAATCAGACAAAACAATTTAGTTTATCTAGTACTCTGCAGTGATTGTCGGGTGAAATACATGGGTCAAAGTGGTAGAACGGAGTCAGTCGAACTAGCAAAGCGGAAAAACCCAGCAAAATCTAGATAAGTTGACTCTAATAAGGTGAGAAATCTGGATAATGGATCAGCTACAACACTACATGCAATTACACACAACCGTAAAATGGGATGGGAAAAGATGACATCCCTAAGATCTAATATAACAAGGTGTGTAGGGAACTTATGTTAGAGTTCACCAGTATTACGAAATATGAGAAATAAAATTCAAGTCAATGGAATGTTAAGTAACAGTATATTACCAAAAATGTAACGACACGTTATATCAACAAAAGGGTTACTTGGAAATAAGGTTTAAGTCCTCTGCTACAAATTACTTATATATCCCACGGAGACGTTAATTGTTTGGACGGAGTAGGTTGTAGCTGCTGTGTCCCGGTTGTATAATTGCCTTCGGTTGAGCGTAGTGGATTTCTACAATAAATCCGAAAGATACAACACGGTGAGAGCTGAGCTAGTAAGCCGAAGAAACCAAGGAGAAGACGAAGTCTCCAACAGCAGAGTGTATTTTTCCAAAAGTACACGGAAGCCAAGGGTATTTCAACCAGAAGCTTTTTAAACAAAAATTATGCACAACATGTCTAATTTCTACAAATAACCAAGAAGTGTACAATCACATTGTTACGCACTCCACAGGGCTCCCCCCCTAGAGGTCCGGAGAGACCATCGGAAAATGTTAAGTAAAGCTGTGAAGTAAATAATAATAGTAATAACAATTTTTGGATAAAAATAGGGATATATTACAACATGCATAAACGTAAGAAGTTATGTGAGTCATGTAAAGTCTGAAAGCATATATATAATATACAATTAGTTCAGCAATAAAAGAAATTAAAACAGAAAGTCATGTCTTTTAAATTTGCACTAACCATGAGCATAGATTTTCAATGTATAACGAAAAGAAAAAAATATGGATTAAAGGTCAGTAGTTTCTGAAAAGGGCAATGCCTGTTTTATAGATGAGGTACACATAAGTAAATAATAATGATAGTAACATCAAAGTTTACAACGAAATACCAACGGTCATGATAATAATGTTTAAAGTAAAAAGATAATAATAATTGTTAATATTTTTTTATTAGTCCTCAAAATGAACGTAGCGAGCCGGTTTACTGATTTGCCGACCACTACGTGTTTGATATGGAGGGATGATAAGGCTTGGTGCCGGTGGAGTGGAATGTGATGTTTGATTATTTGATTGTGCAGTTGCCGATGTAGTTTCAAAATCGTTGTCTGTGTATGCGGGTTTGATGCGATCGATGGAAACAGTCTCTCGTTTTCCATTCTTGTTCACCGTAAAGTGTTTTTCTGAACGTTTAATAACTTGAAATGGTCCTTCGTATGGAGGTTGTAATCCTTTTCTGATGGCGTCAACTCGAACAAACACGAATTTGCAAGTTTGTAGATGTTTGTTGATCTGATCTCGTCGGGGAGATTGTCGAGGTGCTGTTGGTTGAAGCTGAAGCATTTGTCTAGTTAATCGGTTGGTGAAGTCGGTGATGTTCACGTCTCTGGAATCGGCTGAGGGGACTAGCTGTCCAGGCAAGGTTAGGTTGGTGCCATAAACAAGTTGAGCCGGTGTACATCCTAAATCTTCTTTGATAGTAGATCGGATACCAAATAAAATTAAAGGTAAGTATTCACTCCACTTAGATGTATCATTTTGCGCCATCAGGGAGCTTTTCAGTTGTCTGTGGAATCTTTCCACTAGACCATTCGCTGCCGGATGATAGGCTGTCGTGGAGATGTGTTTCACTCCCAGGAGTCTCGTCAGTTCGCGAAAGAGTGTCGATTGGAATTGAGGACCGTGGTCGGATGTAATAGTAGTTGGTACACCGTAATTTGACACCCAGCGGTCGAGGAAAACCAAAGCAACATTTTCGGCAGATATATCGTTCAGGGGGCATGCAATAGCCCAACGAGTAAATCTATCAATGGCTGTCAGGATATGTGTATATCCTCTTGACGTTGGCAATGGTCCTACAATATCTACATGAACGTGCTGAAATCTTCTGTCCGGTAAATCAAACACGTGGTGGTCGGCAGATCAGAGGGACCAGGATTGATAGCTGAGGCTTTATTTACCGAATCAAGTGAGATTAATTGTAATAAGAATGATTCAACGCCTGTCTCAGACATGCGGAAAATTCTACTATCCCCATGACGGATAGGAAGGAATAAAGAAAACTGTAAAATGAAAGTTTCAAAGCTGTGTAGTGATAATTGATGACATTGTGGACAATAAATTGTGTTCGAAACGTCACCCAGTTAATTATACTGTTTCAATGTGTGATATATCTGATGGACGAATTAATATAGGATATGCGGAAGCTTTACACTTATTTATTACGTACTGATATAATAAGGTTGGAACTGAATAACCAAAGGAGGCAGCGCGATGTAATGCCGATCCTTACCTACTACTAAAAGTGTGTAAGCATAGCTGGAAAAGTTCTGATTCGCTCAGAAATAAATTCTGTCGACTCAGAGTTTTTCCAGCATTTACTCAACATGGAAAAATGGGTAAGTTCAGAATTCCTTCGAATTTTTCCGCATTATGTTAGGATTTGATTGTGTTTTGTTTCTAAACCAACTACGAAAACTCCCCTAATCTTCACACGGTCTTGATCGCAAACCACTGGTCTTTCGCGTTTGTTGAAACTGATCATGGCGTCGTGTGCCGTTCACGTTGTTTTCGTCAAAATACGGTCATGTCAGACTACTTATGAATGGAACATAGAGTCATGTTCCAATCTCCATAATATTATGTACATCTGAGACCTGCCACTGAAGAGAAACCTCATAATAAAAGTCTTACACATTATCTTGCGAACATCGTCCTTATTCCTTATTGATCGGGAGGAAGATCCTGTATGAATAAAATGAAATAAAATTAGTACCTCTGAAATTTCATCTGATATTCTCGCATTTCACAGTCAGTCCATGAAGGATGTAGATAACAGCTCAATGGCTAAGCGATTCACAATCTGTGTCTTCACTGTCGTAAAATGTCACAAAATACCTAAGGAACCTAGCACTAAACACTATGTTTACAGGTGACGCGACACTCGAGTGCTTAGGTAAACGAAATGAATCTTTTTAAGACATCAGATTGCCTTTCCCAATAAAAAAGCGAGTGTTAAGTGCATATAAAATTTTTAATGACTAGCTGTCAGAAAATGCATTGGATATTAAATTCGTTTGAATTCACTTCTTCCTAGCCGCCATATTCGTCATTATTTTGAAGGTTGTATCGAAAATGGCTCTAGAGTGATCGCTTGGACTTCGCAACGCTAACCCCGCTACACGCCAATTGGCGAATAAGTATGTGGTTATCAGATAATTTCTAGGATTTAGGTAATCATGATAACAAAAATGTGCTCAAAATGGATCCCTCTTCCCACATCTCTAAAACCTCTCAATGGATTATTCAACCAACCAATATTCAAAACTGGAGACCAGCACTCCTACTTGGAGAGCTGGCTTCATTTCTTCCCCAAGCTCTGCAACCACAGATGCTTGTCTCACTAAGTCCAGATGCTCAGATTTTTTGGTCAGTGATGATTCCGATAGTTGTCCAGGTAAACTGTAACTTACTCTGACTTTCTCTAGACTTTCTATCGGATTTATCAGCAGGCCAGAGCCCAGAATTGGGTAGCATTTGCAATTTTTCACTCTCTGATTTCATCCCAGACGATATTGTTGAGTTTGTCGCAGATTATTCTGTAAGTACTTGTATCTCTAAATTCTTACTTACAGGTTCGTCATGCTGAAACTGATTTTGACTTGACTAGTAACAATGTCGCGGACTACGCAGCTAGTATACCACAAGCCTCTGATTCTTCTTCATCGGTCCTCAGTTATGCAGAATTCAGTCTCAGCCCGGATTCGAAACCTATCTTTCCTGATGTTAAACGCAGTACACATTCAAAACGACGTCGCGAAGTTAATCGTGAAGCATCTAGACGCTACAGACAGAAGTTGAAGCAGAAATGTTTGCAGACGCAGTCAGATCTTGCTGAAGTTATATCTGCTTACAAACGATCTAAATTAGCATACGAAAAGGCTGAGCATGCTTTTGATGTTTTGAAAAATATTGTACTTGATTTAGTTAGTTTGACTCCTTAAAACGAAACACTGTCTTATTTATTTTATATATTCTTATTCTCTCATTTTGCATCCCCAATTCTGCGACTCGAGTTTGCTTTTTCACTGTCCAATTATATACTGAGCATTGTTTTTTAAAAATTGAGTTTTTGCATTTTTCGGGCTAGATTTAGTGGTGTCGGATTTATTGTTTTCATACGAGTGTTCGATACAAGATTGTACGTAGGTCAGCGTACACCTGATTTGTCTAGGTTATTTCTTTGTAATATTCCAAGTGTATCAGATAAGGTTTTGATTCAATTGGTTGGATTTTATTCATGCTCCTTAGTTTATGTGAATGCTGACTGATATCAACGTAGAACTTCGCACCGATGTGCAGCAATTCCAGTCGCCACACTTCGCTTTTGTGAACGCACGACGTGATGGTATTCAGTTTAACCTTAGTTTGCATTAAGACTTTGGTTGACCATTACTATGTGTTCTGCACAGTCGGAAAGGTCCTAGTGTGTCGACAATTAACTAGTTTCATATCTACTGGGTTCCTAGAAAGTTCTTAACGTAGCACCGTTTTTTATGCAAGCCGGACTACTCACTCTTGGTTGGACATCTGAGACATTCTGCTGTTACCTCAGGTAAGCGAAGGAGGTGTTTGAAAATCGTCAGATTCCTAATTCTTATACTAGTAGTCCGGGAGATGCCAATGAGGGTACAGAACAAGATTTCTTTATTTATAGGACCTTGATAAGTAATTGTCTACTTGAAGATATTATGTATTACGGACAGCCGACCACCAAATAATCAGAGCCTAGCTGCTGGATAAATGCAACAACGATGAAAGAGTTAAATGTTAAACATCTTGTACTAAGTCGACAAGTGACTTGGATCTGGCTCCGGTTACCATTTTGCGGATTCGTAACGCAAGCAGGAGGACAAAGAAATAAGGATCACAGGGTCATAGGTTGTGGGATTACTTCCAAATATCGTAGTTAAAAGGGGTGAGCTGTGGATCCTTTCGCACCACTAATTGTTTTTGAACTGCCATGTAATGTCGCTAGCCGAAAATCAGGAGTGGTGACTGTGACATTACACTTTCTCGCATTTAGGTCTCAGCAAGAGCTCGTATGCAGTGTGATATAAGACAATCTAGGGTGAGGACTGTGGGTTTCGCTACCTTATGATATTAGGAATGGGCATAGTTGAGTCTGTGAAATTGCTCCCACCCTTAAATCTATAGTTGGCTGACCCGTCATAGAGGAGGGATTACTTTCTCACTGGAATTCCTACGACGGCGTGATTCGAAGTAAGTGGAGAAACAAGTTTGCTAGCCACATGTCTTCTGATGACCTCATGAATGAGGACAATGCGTAAATCATAGTAGGATATGCCATAATGCATAGGATTGTACAGATAAGGTGTTTTCCCCTGACTTCAAACTTAGTTTTCAGATTTATTGATTGAGGATAGAAGGCTAGAAGCTTATGTTAACCTTTTCGTGATAGATTGCTGTGCTTGTCTGAGCGCTTCTTGAATAAACCAATTGCGGGCACCGGCACTACTTCTGGGAATCAGTTTCAGGAGTTTGTGACCTGTTCTAAGGACCAGTTCGAAATTATCCAAAAAGCACGGCAGTTCACGTATTTCCTTTGTGAGCGGATGTTTAAAATACACTGCTAGTGATGTACGTTAAAGCAAGCATTTTTTTCCTGTGGTAGATACTGGTACTACTCACACTAATCAGGAGTGCCTGCTAGCCAGATGGAAATGGTCTGGGCGGCTGTTTCGCTCGTCTGACGCCGAGCTAATCAAAGGTGTGTCTGGTTTGACTCAGCTCAGAGAACCGAATAAGTTCAAACTAACCTATTTGTGACTAGCTACAGTCGTCCGGCATTTAGATGACTTCAATCCGGGTAGTAAGCACCACTGGTTGGTGTAAGTATTATACAGCTACCCATCTCAGTCTCAATCAGCAGTATATAGTTTTACGCATTCATAGTTGCTTTCTTGTTTGGATTGTTGAATGCTTTCAGAAAATCTTGTAATGTGATCCAGTCAGTTCAGAGAGTAGTCACAAACACAGTAATAACCAGTCGCTTGTCAGTTGTTTAGAAAATAAAATCAGTAAGTTGTTTGGTTACATCTTGTTGGCAGCGTTTGTTATTGGAAGAAAAAGATGTCACTTTTTAACTTATATTTCTCACTTAAAACAACCTGTTAAACAAATAAAAGGGTCCAATCATCTTTGAATATGGAGAAAATGTACTCCGAAGGATTAGGTGTCTTGTTAAATAAAGTAATTTCATACTTCGTGCTTTCTACCTAGAAGTGATACAATTAAGAATTAATAAACCTATAAAGCTAAAATATGCTATTTTAATGAGTTAGCTGAATAACTTCAAATAATTAGGCAGCTTGATGTAGCATATATATATATATATATAGTTCCGGGTGGAATATAAGGCTTCAACAACGCATCTCCATTTTGTTCTATTTTCTCCTGTCCTCCTCAGCTGGGTCCACGATTGACCATAATCTCTCATCTCCTCGCCACAAAATCTCCTCCATGTCACCCTCGCACTGACGAAGCACTCGTCGCTTCCATTGGGATTCCACTGGAGGGACTAGCGCGCTGTCATTCGATTGTCTTCTCAACGTATGTCCGATCCATCTCCATTTTTTCGTACATATCTGTTGAGCGATCGGCTCTTGGTTTGTCTGTTACTAGCCACAGTTTCTTGTTACCAATTCTCTCTGGTCATTTGATTTTCAATATAGAGCCAGCGAAGGCAGCTGTTGATAAAAGTCTATAACTTGGTATAAATCCTGTTTGTGACGCGCGATGGCCAAGTTTCTGACCAGTATAGAAGAACTGACTGACTTCACAATTGTGTTGGAAATCCAAATCTTGTTCTTCATGCTGCGGCGAGGTGCAGAAGGTTTTCAAAATGGTTTCAGGTTGATGAATGCGTATCTCGCCTTTCCTGGCTGGCTGGTTGGTTTTGACATCTTCATCCGTTCCGATTACCTGTGGTTGAAACGATGTTTCCTAGATAAGTGAAGGAAGTAACCTCTGGCGACTGTCTTCCGTTGATGGTGATTGGTGCTGGTTCTTGTTGTTGTTGTTGCTGTGAATTGGTTAGTTATCTTCATCATCTCCGTCTATTCTCTCTTTCTCCCTAATGTCAAGTTGGCGATCGCTTCTATACGGTTCCGAGACTTTGGGCGTGTGTCAGTGACAGCACTGCAGACAAGCCGCAAACTTTCATTCACACTTGCCTTAGCTGGTCCGATGTTGAACATTCGATGACCTGCCGGGAGGGGTAAGCAACACGGAATTTTGTCAGCGAACTGCATAAGAACCTATCGCCCAACAAAGGAAATGCAGGTGGATTCGACACACAGTGGAAGACACCGTTGAATGACATGAAATCACACGCCCGAGCAGGCACTCGAATGCGAAACAATGAATTGGAGACCGCGTGACGTGGCGGTTTAATCTTACTAACAATCCCTCCTACTCTTCTTAGATTCAGTTGCATCACTCATCAAAACTTACTTCTTATTTCACAAAACACTACTTTTCAATTCGGTAGTCAGTCAGCTGAGTTAATTCCACCATGTATGCTACACTGGTATATTTTTATACAACTATAGAAGTCATTTAGCGCCAAGGTGAACTGTCAGTGAATAAAAAGTGGTCAGAGTTAAATAAACCATCCTTTAATTCTACCAGTTGACAGTTAATATCAGCGTGAACATCAAGGTGTTGAATGTGAGGATGCTGAGTTCCTGAGGATTCGATTCACGTTAAGCTGGATTTCATCATGAGCTCATGTGGGCTACAGCGCCATAGCAGACTAAGCAGCACTAGACAGATGTCCTGTCATAGTTTCTGACTACTGACCAGAAATCTAATCCGCAACCACTAAGTTATGGAAACGTTACCATTCAACTACTACTTGGTTGCATTCTAATGACTGCTGATTTTTGTTTGCTTTAATTTATGATGTGGCACTACTTCCGTCCAATACTAGCCGTTAGTGTTTGTTCTCAAGCTCAACAAAACATCAGTCAATTCTCCACAAATCCAACCTCAAGATAGCCTTTTTTAGGTTTTAATTGGGAGCTATCGACAGGGGAATACACACAGTCAAGCCAAATATTGACTGATTGTCTTGGATTTTAATTATGCTATACATCAGGTTGATGGATGTTGCTGGAGTTCAATCCAGTGGTTGAATGGTTTTGTTGTCGTCTCGCCACTTGACGGCGAGGAGTTAGTTTCATGGTTGGACCGTTGGCGAGCACTGTCGGATAGTCCTTAACTAGGCTGAGGCAGCTGTCTAGGACTCTTGGTTAGGCAACCGACTTCACTATTTGAAGCAACCTTTGCTGAATTCTCTTAACAAATACTGAATTATGATACTATGATGTGTTTAAATTTACGTTGTAATTAGTCTGTAAGTCGATACCTTAATAGGATTCATTACTGTAGCGGAGAGAAAGTCGATTGACTTCTGTTTATTACATGATTATTTGTGAACGTCAGAATCATTTTCTCTGCACTCACACACACACACTAGAAACTGTAACTCATTTAGCAGACACAGTGCATAATTAGTGGACAGATAAACGACAGTGAAAGGTTATGAGACAAACAACTTTTTGTAGACATCAGGTGATCACATCTAGCTAAGAAGTGTGTTATTTTAAATAGAATGAAGTAAACAGTAGACAAAAATAACTTCTGTTTTTCATCGAAATTAATAAGTAGAAACTAACTTAGTTTACTAAATATTTAAAGGTGAGCAAGGTTTGAAATATATTTTTTTGCGTTGAAGTTTCTGTAGCAATTTGGTTAAGTTTTGGGGGTGGAGTTGCTAGCACCACGCCCCAACCCTCCCTCTTTACCCGGGCTTGGGACCGGCTAGAAAACTAGCGAGCTAGAAATCTAGGCGAGGTTTTCAACAGCTGTACGACAACGGCACATGTCAAGTGATCCACAACGGAAAACTCAGCGAGGCGTTTGGAGCAAAAACACAGGAATCAGACAAGGGTTCTTATTATCACCAATGATATTCCTAATTGTGGTGGACTGGATTATGCGTCACACAGTGAGAAACGAGAAGACAGGGATATCCTGAACCTACGTGAAGAAACTAGAAGACCTGGATTTCGCGCGTGGATGATTTATGTTTGATGTCACA